CTTGGAGGTGAAGGGGCAGGAGGCGCAGCGGAACTCGCCCAGCGCCACACAGCCCCTCTTCTTGTGCGTCTTCATTGCCCGTTCCTGGTGGCAGGTGAAGGGGCAGGTGGGGCAGGAGAAACGCCTCCTCTTGGGCAGGGCAGCTTTCGGGGGAGCCGCATCTAGCGGAGGCTCACTGGGCTGGTCTGTCTCAATGCTGGCCAGGTGCCCCTCAGAGAACTCAGTGCTTTGGGGTCCGTCCTCCTCAGGATGCACAACATGCTTGCCGGCGCAGTGGCTCTTGAGGGCCCGCTGGGAGCGGAAGGCCTCAGGGCACAGGGAGCACCAGAACTGCTCCAGGCTCCGGCACCCATCCTCCACGTGGGAGGTGATGGTGGAGACCCGGGAGCACACGAAGGAGCAGGCGTTGCAGTGCAGCTTCCCTGCCTCCAGACGGTATTTCTCCGAGGGTTTCCCAGGCTCGAGGGGACAAGCAGCTCCACCTGGCTCAGCCCCGTCCACTTGCTGGGGAGGCTCTTCCATCACCTCTGTGCTGTCACCCAGCAGGGATTCTTCAGGGGCAGGACAGCCCGAGGTCTGTTCGCCAGCCAAGGAACTGCCTACTGCCTTCATTGTATCAGGCTTCAGTCCAGCTTCGCAGGGCCTCTTGGCATGCCTGGACTCCTCTGAGCCTCCCCTGTTGCTCTCTGCCGTTTCCATACCGTTGTCACTGGGCTGGTCAGCAGGCTGGGACAACCCAGGCGGCTCCTGACCAGCTGGTTTAAGGATCTTGTTCTTCTTCAGGAGGACCGGGCACTTCTTGAGGAGATGAGTGTTGAGCCCCCTTTGCTGCTTAAAGCTGGTGCCGCACTCGTGGCACACGAGCGGGGCCCGGCGGCTCTGGCAGCTGGCTTTGGAGTGCAGAGACATAGACTTCTCCTTCCGCGTGATGTATGAGCACTTCTCACACTTAAAGATCTGGCTCTCTGACTGCACCACCAGCATCTGCACCCTGCCCTCCAGCACCAGTGTCTCCGCCTGCTCCTTGTCCTGCTTCCGCAATGCCTTCAGCACTGACTCCGAGCCACCTCTGGCATCGTCACTGGAGGCAGCCGCGTCCTTTGGGATAGGTGGGTGCCTCTGCTCAGCCGTCTTCAGCGCACTGAGCCAGGCCTCGGGCAGCTCCACTTGGCTGGTCTCTCTCATCTCTGTGTCCGCCACCAGCTTGTGGTGGTCTGCGCATGACCTCTCAAGGTCACCCATGGCATCCCTTAGGGTGTCTTCTCCCTGGCTGTCTCTTGCCGCTACGTTGTCCTCCAGCCTCACTGCCTCGTCCTCCTGTACATCTGCCTCCTCTTCCTCAAAGTCTGGCATGTCTTCAAGCGTATTATCATTGTCCTCCAAGCTAAGGTCATCTTGGGAGCCCAGCATCTTGTAGGATGTGGGAGGCTCCTTGCAGGACAGCATTTCCATGCTCTCTGGCTGTGCTGTGCAGGATTCTCCAGTCAAATGCTCCAGGAGGGGGTCAGATGAGACGTTCAATGCCTCCAAGTGCAACGTGCAGCTCTCCGTCACGTCCCCAGAAGCAGCGAGTTCAGTCGAGCCTGCTGCAGTGTCTCCTTGCATGTGGTCATTTCCCAGGGCATCGCCAGTGGTGGGACAGCTCTGCTCCTCCTCACTCACACCTCCATCTGCCTCGCTGCCACTCCGCGGCGGAGCAGCTTCCTGCTCAAGGAGGGGCACCACAAACGCTTGCTGGTAGCCCCCTTCCCCTTGGGAATCCAGCTGGGATGGCTTCGCCTTTGCCCACTGCTCCTTGCCAGCAAGGGGGGAGCTGGCATCCACACGCAGGGCTGCGCTGAGCTCGTAGCCAAAGAGTGCCTCAGAGGAGCTGATCTCCAGCTCCTTGCTGGCGTAGTTTTCCAGCCAGTCCTTGTCACCAGGGACATAGCCGTGAATCTTGCGCTTGTGGAAGAAGAGGCTGGTGTTGCTGAAGGTGCAGTAGGAGCAGAGGGCACAGCGGAACTCCTTCTGCTTGGTGTGCTTGCAGTTCTCATGTTTCAGCAGCGCCTGCTTGTACTTGGTCTGGTAGGTGCAGTACTGGCACTGGAAGATGGGCACCTGGTAGTTCTGCGAGTGGTTCGCCTGCATGTGCTTCTGCAGCTCGTACTTGCGCTTGCAGGCAAAGCCGCACACCTCACAGATCAGACTTTTGCCCTGGTGACGCAGCTTGTGACTGCTCAGCTGGTCAGCACGGTGGCACCGGTACGAGCACTGGTTGCACTGGTACCTGTGGAGAAAGCAGGATCGGTCAAGCAGTGCGAGGAACCGGGGCTGGCTGAGCCCTGTCATGCTCTGGTTCCCCATCCCAGACACAGAGGGAAAGGGTACTATTTGGTTTGCCAGATCTGACCTTTGCTGTCTGGGCAGCTCTTACCACAAGCAATTCCTCCCTGCTGCAGCCCTTTGCACTGCTGGTGCTTTACACTCCCACCCTGGGGATGGGAGAGATTCCCTAGATATCCCACACAGTGACTGTGTCACCCTCATGCACACGTGCCACACCAGCAGCACCTCCAGCATCGCTGGAGGCAGACTAGACCCAAAGGAGGTGGTAATACAGAAGTAGAAACACGCTTTGGCAGAGTCCTGCAGCGCTCAAGCTGGCCTTGGCCCACAAACATCAGCAGAGCCCATGAACCTAAGCTCAGCGCTGCACTGATGCTGCAATACATCTCCTTGGTGGCACGGACACACCACCACACATCGCTTTGTCTCCACAGCACCATGCTGACAACAAACTGCAAGCTCAAAGACCACATTTCTTATCTACCAGACAGAGCAGGCTGTAGTCATCCTCCCAGCCATGAGAGAGTCTGGCACATAATGCAGCCCAGAGCAGGAGACTCCCAGAGCAGGATATGGGGAGCCCTGACTCTGCTGCCAGGTCAGCAGGGCAGGGAGACATACCGGAGATCTCCAGTGTGCTTGCGCATGTGGACGTTCAGGTAGTGCTTCCACTTGGTGATGTACCCACACTCGGTGCACATGAAGTTCTTGTCATCGGAGTGGGTCAGCATGTGCTTGGACAGGTAGCTCACATCCCGGCACGTGAAGTCGCAGAGCTCGCACTTGTGAGGTTTCTCTCCTACAGGCAATACAAGAACGCCCTCAGCATGACGGTCAGATAAGGCGGCACGGGATGCCTCTCCTACAAGGAAACCAGCTCAGCAGGAGCTGTGAGTAACAACAGAGATGGGGGCACACCACAGTTTCAGCCAAGTGACACTAGGGTGGCAGAGACAGTGATGGGATCCAGGAGCCCTGACCCAGCCCTCCTCACCCACCTAGAGCCAGGACAGGATACCCCCATCTCAGCTTGGCTCCCAGGACCCCCGCAGCAGACACCCACCAGTATGCAGCAGCATGTGCCGGATGAGCACCCTCTTATGCGCGGTGGCAAAGGCGCACTCAGTGCACTTGTGGATCTTCTCATTGGCGTGCATCTTGCCCACATGGTCGTGAAACTCCACGGGGTTGAAGGTGGCGTAGGGGCAGAAGCTGCACTGGAGCTGCTCACTACCTGGGTGTCCCTGCTTCTTGTGCTTGCGGAAAACGTGTTTGTTGGAGCAGATGAAGTCACACTGCTGGCAGTGGAAGGCGTAATGGGTTTTTCGGTGAGCCTCCATGGCCTCAGCTGTGCCGAAGAGCAGTGAGCAGGCATGGTACTTGCACTCCACCGCCTTGATGCCATGAGCATCCTTGAGGTGACGGACAAACTCCTTCCGGTCCTCCGCGCAGTAATCGCAGCCCCCCTGGAAGCAGCTCAGCCTATTGGGCTCGGCTTTATGAGTCTTCAAGTGCTCTTTGAGGGCCTGGCTGAGCCGAAACTTCTCTGCACAGACAGGGCAGGAGTAAACATCGGAGTAGAAGTTGGAGATGTCCTCGTGCATGCTGGCCATGTGGCGGTTGAGGGCGTTCTTCTCCACCGAGCTGTAGTGGCAGAGCGGGCAGCGGTGGGCCTTCTCGCCCGTCTCCCGCATCATGTGGATTTTCAGCTTGCTTTTACTGGTGAAATACTTGTGGCAGTTGGGGCACTGCAGGCTGGGGTCAGGGAAGTGCAAGTGGAGGTGTTCCACCAGGTGTGTCCGCTTCTTGAAGCACCGCTTGCATTCGGGGCACATGTGGGTTTTGTAGAGGTTCTCGGAGCCCTCCGCGACATCCCCTGTGAAAGCAGAGGAAGGGGAGCTGTCAGAAGGGAAGAGGGGGAGAGCAAAGGCAGATGTTCTCTCCTCGCTCCAGCCATACTAGGGTGAGGGCTGACACACATATGCAGTCACACAGCAGCTGCTTGGAGGGATTTCCCCACCCCAAGCCACCAGCATGGTTCAGGTGGGCTCCTTCCAGCTCAACACTAGCAAAGTGCAGCCTAAACAAGGCGTGCCCACATGCCCCTCACCCCCAAAGCCAGGCAGGCTTTTCCCTGAGCCTGGCAGCAGTGGTGGATGGGCAAAAGAAGGAAGACATTTGCTTGGCCAGAGAGAATAGTGCACTGGCACCTGCAGATGTGGGGCTGCTGGATGGCACAGGAACCCCAGGCCCCACCAGCCCAGCCCATGTCTCTCCCCGCCAGTCTCGAGGCTGTGCTGTTTGTTCACAATACAAAGCCCGAGCAGCTCCTGGTAGGGTCCTGCATCCTACCTTTGAAGTGCTGTGCCTGTGGCACTCTGGCTTTCTCAGGAGCTGCCTTCCGATCATCTTTGGCCTCGCCTTTGCAGGGGGTCTCACCATCCTCCTCCGGCGAGTCCCTGCCACTGTCCAAGTCCTCCTCTCCAGCTGATGCTTTCCGCCCCTCCAAGGAGCCCTTCTCAGCCCCTGGAGGCTTTGCCGGTCTGGCTTCTGCTGTGGTGGCTTCCCAGCCAGAGTGGCAATTGCCTGCATCCTCCTGCCCTTCTTCTGCTCCTTCAGTGGGGAAAGACAGGAGATCATTGAGTTCCAGGTGAGAGGGAGCCACCCCAATCACCCACATATGAAAAAAACCTCCTGGCCGAGATGGGGGACACAAACTGTGCCACAGAGAGGAGGGAAAACTGCACAGAGCAGCCGGACTGCAGGGCCCCCCAGCCCATCTCACCTCTAACTCCTCCCAGTTGTAACTGGGGTGCACAGACACAGCCACCCTGTGCAGCCCCCACAGGCCTCAATCCCCCCACCCCACCGTACCCGACAGCAGGACGCAGCGCTGCTGGAGGCCGGGGGGGGCCAAGCCGGGGGGACTGCCTGTCGCAGGAGTCTTGGCGGGGGGCTCCGCGGCATGGCCCTTCCTGTGCTGCCAGAAGAG